GCTGAGAGGGGGAGAAGGGGGGGGGAGACGCGGATACCTAAATATTTCCATCAAAACAGTTATATAAAGTTATTATGCCTGTTATGTAACCGTTTCGACACCACGCGGTGTTGTCGTAAACTAAGTAGACAACAAGTAAGTCACAAAACGTTCAGGTTACACAAAGCCAGAACAACGGGGGCAGGTCGCCCGAACCGCGCACCACAGGGCGGAGGGACGAACCCCGCCGAGGGGAGACGGGACCGGCTCCCTGCTGCAGGAGCTCCGAAGGGGCCTACGGTCCATCACCTTCAACAGGCAAATGATCTGCTTTTCGGGTCAAGAGTGGAAAACCTTCACGCATGAACCTGTCTATTCAGAGAGTAGGGAGACAGTTTTATTCCTGTGAAGTACGAGACCCAGACGCAAAGGCGAAGTTGCATTTGCCCTTGTTTTTAGAAGTAAGTTGGAGGCTTGTGAAAAGAGAGAAACGCACTCAAAAGACCACAGAAAACTTGTTTTTAAAGAGCCACAACTCCTCATAGAACATAGATGGGACTTTAGGTCATTTAGGTACATTTAAGGGGCACCATGTAAGTCGGAAGCACAGCCAGCTGCAAGGCAATAAAAAGTTTTGACCAACAGTAAAGACCAAAGACAGAAACAATGTCAAAGCTAGCCAGCTCCCCCTCCCTAGATCCCTCCAAGTGCTTTCGGTCAGGAAGCTGTTGGGTTAAGCAGAAGGAAGATGACTTGGGTGAGTTAGTAACTAATCATGCACAAAGGTCAGCCAGCCTCAGGTAGCAATAGGTCTTGTTGCTTGTCTGCCCCAGTTTATCCCCTTTTAATCTGACTGGTGTCACAAGGTCAAGTTCTTACCATGCTTTTCAGAGCACCCCATAAAATACAAATAATTTTAAAACTAAGGCTAGAAGTATTTGTCAGGCAGCTCATATTTGTAACATATTACTAGAAACTGACCTTTAGGAAGACACGGGGTTTTTTTATCTGCTCACACAGTTCTTTGAGATGTTTCCCAAGGAAGCAGGCTTGTCACAATCCATGTGTGTAAATGCAACTAAGTTTCTCACCTCTCCCTTCTACCAGAGCTCTTGAGCCTGCTAACTAGAGGGACTGAATCCTCCTAAGGCTTTACATTTAATGAAATTAAGACAAGTGGGCAGGTGAGGGACTCTTGAATCCCTTGAGTAAGAAAGCTCAAGCTTTGGCCACTGTTTTAGGTCTTAGCAAATACAAATGGGACCTCAAGGTCCACGCAACTGCACGTTTCCTCACTTCTGCTTCTTTAATTAGAATTCAAGCTCTCTCCTATGCTTGAAGCAGAAGCTGCAACCTGATCTTAAATGGATGAAATGAAACGGTGTTCTTTCATTTAACTCAGGGCTTTATGTCTTGTAGGTTTAAGAATTAATCATAGTTCCTTTAAGGATTAGTTTGCAGAATGACAAACCCACCACTAAACTTGAGAGGCCTAAGTAGCAGCAATGAAAATGGCTGGTTTACTGGTTTACAAAGAACAACTTGCTAAATTCAACATATTCACCAAAATTATGGAGTTTTATAACTAAAATCCTCAGGATCCATTGACTGTGAAAAGCATTGGAAAAAAAAAAGCCAAGTAAGCTAAGTGTTAGTTCAGCCTTGCATAGCAAAAACTAACAATTGAAAACTTGGTGATTTACCTAAACATCAATTTTAATGCTACTGCTTGTCTGGGTATAGACAAAGACTTCAGCCAAAGTTAAATCCTTTATGGAAAATATATTTTTAACAATTTAAGTGCTGCATGTCCATACAGTCACCAACCTCCAATGAAACTATGATGCCCAAGTTTCATCTTGCTGATGTTTACAACTGGCATGTTCTTCCTTAAATATCATACAATCCTCTCACACAGCATTTTGGTTATGATCTCTGTTGTCCTTCATGAAAATCATCACAGGGCTACCCAAGACTCTTGGCACGCATATGAAAACAAACAGTGATGAAAATTTGTAAATCAACTTTATTCAACGATGACCATCATTTAGGCATCGGCAATAGTAACTTCAACTTCTACACCTGGTTCAATGCTGATGGAAGTGATCTGCTTCACAATCTCAGAAGGGCTGTGTAAGTCAATGAGCCGCTTATGGATACGCATTTGGAAACGATCCCAGGTCTTGGAACCTTCACCACAAGGCGTCTTCCTGGTAGTGATTCGCAGAGTCTGAAGAAAAATCATAAACACAGGGTATTTAGTTGATGCATACAGAAGACTCATCTACAATCAAATCAATCCACCTAAAAATACTGTATGGTATCTACGTCATTGGAAGGTTACTTCTTAGTTATATTCTACTGAAGCTAACACTCCTTCCCTATAGTCAATTTAATTTAAAAAAAAAAAGTCACAATTAAAACAAATTGAAGGACGAAAAAGCCCCTTCCACGTTCAACATCTTTAGCACTAAACAGCTGCCCCAAGTGTCAAAGCAACTTGTGAAGTCATTATCTGTTTACACTGGGTCATCCTCAATTTCGTAGTACCACTTTTCATCTCAACTTTTTTTTTAAAAAAAATATGTTTTAAGTGCACATTTGCAGAAAAAACCAAACTTTTAAGACAGGAAAACAGTGTTAAGTACCTTGGTGGGCATGCGAACAGGTCCTTTCACCTTTAGGTTTTTTTCCTTAGCGCCTCTGATCAAGTCAGCACAGACTGAAAAAAAATACAAAATAGCTCAGGTTTGTGAGTATTTTTTGTTGCTCGTTTTCTTAAGTGAAGATTTCAAACATGAAGTTGGCTCAGAATAGCGTATGAAATGATCATTGCCATTCATTTTAAGGGTCATCCTCATAGCCAACCACATACAAGTGGAAGCGTTACACCATGGTTAGCAAAACCATGTTACAACAGTAGGCAAAAGCCATTACTACAAGTTTAAGCTGTATTTAAGCTGTTATCAGCCTGAAGATCCTGCATCAAACAGTGATTCTACAACATTTACATTCTATGATTAAAACACTGGCAAAGCCAGTTCCTAAACAAGATTAAATAATTTTTTAAAGAATGTTAAACTTCTGAACTAAACTCTTCATAACAAGAGTGACAAAACATCAATCAAGAAACCGGTGCCTTTCTGTTCTTATACATTCAATAATGACAACTAAAACCCCCACAAGAACTAAAGGGAAGAAGCTGCACTTTAAGTTAGTCATTACAACATGAAGTTTTCAGCATGATGAAAACCCCCAAATGCTAGCTTCCATTAAAAATTAAATTAGAATCTACTTATCGGTGTACAAAGCGCTTTGGGTTGACTTTGTTAGCCAAGTCACATACAAACAGGCAAATGCCAACATCTTTAATTACAACTGGCTTCAATACATTGTATTTTGCAATACATTATATCTCATATATCATTCATTAGTTAACAAGCAACCCCAGTCAAAAAAACAAGTTATCACTCACCCTTCTCAAGTGATTTTACATTGCGACTTGTCAAAGTAATTCTAATGCGATGAATTGCTACCTCTTGTTCCACAGGTGCTTTGCCAGTATCTTTAAACGCCTAAAATGTTGAAATTACAAGTATCAGACACTACAGTCAACACCAACTAACACTATCTGCAGCCTCTTAAAAACAGACTTCTAGAGCGTAAGAACAATTTAGCTATGGGACTATTTTATTCTACTGACTAGATGACATATCCAAAGGGTACAGTGGCACAGAAGAAACGGTGGTGGGAACAGAAAGGAAGGGTAAAGTCCTAACTGCCCAGAGAAGCAACTATTTAGTGTCTAACTGCATCTCGCAGTGGGAAGCTGCAAGAACATCCCTCCCTGGTTTGCCTATACACAGCAGACTGCCCAGTCAGGAGTACTCCTCGTCCTCAAAAATAAACACATTTCAGATGTCACGTATCTTACAACTTAACCTCACCACGAATTAAGTAACAAAGATATCAACAAAACAGCAACAACTTAAACAGCAAGGACAAAAAGGGGCACCTGGCCAGAAAGACTAATTCGGCCACTCAGGAGACTGATGCAAAGAGCTTTTGCAATTAAACGCTTGCAAATAATTGGGCATTAACGTGGACGAAGTGAACTGATGAAAGAAAATAGAAGTGAAAATACGGAGGAAGAAAAAAGGTCTTAAAAACCCGTGGCTAAACTATGGCATTTCTCACATTGATAAGATACTACCTGTCGTATTAACTGACGCACGTTCCTCTAACAAAAGCCGATTTTAAGGGCAAACGCCGGAGGCCTTCTCACCACCACTCACGCCGGGCTGAGGTCGTCTCCCCCCCCCCCCCCCCCCCCCCGGGGGGCGGCGGCCCCGTCGCCACAGGCGCCGCTCCCGAAGGGGAGCTCTGCGAGGAGGAAGCCCTACGGCCGCCGCGGCCTGC